ACCTAGCAGTTCGAAAGCAAGAAATTGCAAGTAGATAAATAGGGGTACCACTTCAGTGGGAAGGGAACAGCGTTCTGTGCGCCTTGGTGTTTAGTCATGCCGGCCATATGACCACGGAAATGTCTTCGGACAGTGCTGGCTCTTCGACTTGGAAACGGAGATGAGCACCGCAACCCTAGAGTCGGACTCGACTGGCTTTCGAGCAAGGGAACCTTTACCTTTACCTTACTCTGTTTAGGAAGGAGTATACTGTAAGAAATACTGAACAGGAGATTTCAGAAAAGGGAAGGAACTACTCCCCCCCCAAAAAAAAAGGACTGTTGTGTATTTACACAATCCCAATTACAAGCACATTGTGTTTATGACCTAATCTCCAGATACAGAAATACAGAGGGGAAAATTGTAATCCACAAATTTAAAAAATCCAGTTCATCATTACTGACAGCCAGTATAACTATATGACAGTCAATCAAGCCTTTTTGTATAACATTCACAACAGCAGTATACATTCAGACATTATATCATACCATGTACAGCAATTAAAAAGTTCTTCAGGCTGGATACAAATTTCCCACCTGCCACCTGAGACCTTTGAATAATATCTGGGGTCAACACAAATGACAGAACGCTGCTGAAATTGCCTGTTACAGTGTGTCATGCCCGTGGGTTACCATCTTCCTCTGCCACCACTCTGGACTTCGGGTCCCTTGGGAAGGCCCAGAGTACCCTCCCAAGCCCAACCAAAAATGCCCGTCAAGCCGAGAAATATAGGTGTGATGACCAGGCAGAGAACATTAAACAAACGGTTTATTAATACAGTAATGGGCAAGGAAAACAAGACAAAGTGCTTAAAATATACATAACAGTGTCTAAAGGTAAATAGAACAAATCTAACGCAGCTACCTATTTCTCTTAGCTGGTTGTTATTCAAGGCCCACAGCCTTTTATACCAGGCCTGCCTGTACTCACTCTAACCCAAGTGAGGGATCTTTCTCTTACCCCAGACTGTCCTCTCAGCGAAGCTCTATGAGAGAAAAGAACGCAGTTCCACAGCCCACACAGGTTTTTTAGTAACAGTCTCCTCATACAATCACTGGACACCAATTGGTTTCAAACGGCGCCAAGCATTGTGGGAATTGTAGGCGGTGTCTGCTATCCACTCCCACACAGGTCTCCTGGGCCTAGGCCTCAATAGGCCTTATGTCCCAGTCCTACACAGAACATGACACAGTCAAAACCCAATGGGGCCAGTAGGCCCCTTAAGGTTACCAAGTACTTACTGCAAATTGGTGGGGGACACATGCTCTCCCGCCGGAACACTCCTGCCGATAACACACCTGCATTGCACAATCTGTCGCCCAGACGTGATGTCAGCACGCTGGGCACATAGCCGGGCGACACTCTGGTACCATCGAGTTTTCAGACCCATTGCTAGAGCGTTGCCCGGCTACGTACCTACGTCACGTCTGGGCGACAGTATAGTGCAGCGTGTATGTTTCCCCCGCGGGAATGTTCCCGCCAAAAACTATGTGCCCCCTCGCCGATTCGCGGTAGGTACTTGGTAACCCTAAGGCCCCTCTCCCTGAGCTTAACTCAGAAGATACAGACTCATTGTGGCCAAATACAGAGTTCTAACAGGTGCCTGAAGTAGGGTTGCCAAGTCTGGTTTGGAAAATACCTGGAGACTTTGGGGGTGGAGCCAGGAGAGGGCGGGGTTTGGGGAGGGGAGGGGCCTCAGCACAGTACAATGCCATTGAGTTCACCCTCCAAATGCCTGAAGGTCATATAGACGCCCTCCACTTTTGATATGACTGCTCACATTCAGGAAGGCCGTGTGAAATGTACTATTGTTTTAGGGCACTGATTTCTGTTGGTGTCAGAGCAGTGGGCTAGAAATTATTTGACGGGAGATCGTGTTTTTAAAGGAACGTGCACTGTTAGGTATATAGCCTAAACACCCTGAAGAGGGCAACTTCCTGGATTGCCCCTAGGAGCTCCACCTTTTCTGATTCTGCAAGCTGGTTTTCAATCCCACCAGGAAAGAGGGAGTGGTTTGCCCTGCAACCCCCCCCCCCCGACATACCTAAGGGGGATAACAGGATCCCACAGAGTGTCATCCACACTCAAAGGGAGCCACTGAGAGTCCTATAGGTACTCTACTGTCCTTGGAGATTTCATGCATCCATTTTCTGCACTGCTCCCCACATGCCTATGGATTACCAAGCCTCTTCTTCTACATCCCTGATTGGTGCCATTTCTGTTTTCATTGATCCTAAGAGATTAACCCATTAATGGCAACATAGGATAGGATAACAAGCTCCAGAGCTGGTGCTCCTCTGGAGGAAGCTGAAGGAGATTGTACAGGCTGAATCTGCATTTGTCTTTCCCACCGGTGTCCAAGCCTTTTGACTCCGTCTTCAAAAAAGCTGTCTATGTTTGGTGTCGTTTTCACACCTCAAGAGTGCTAGCATACTTTTGCACGTCCGCATATGTTTAGCGTCCTTTCGAGGCGGCTCCACTGTCACTGCACCTCTGCACTGCTTTAAAAGAATCTTCTCCAAACAACATTCAAGCAAGCATAGAGAAAGACGGCGTCACAGCAGCATGGAACTAATTTAAAAATGCAAATGCAGTTTCGACCTGTATCTTTGGCCCCACACACAAGCTGCTGTCACCAATCCTGAATGGGGGCTCTAACTGACCCCCTCCTTAATATCCTCCCTTCTTCCTCTGATTAAAACAAAACAAAACACGGAGTCATGGTCCCCCTCGAATTGGATTTCCAAAGTCTAATAACTACATCAGCAGGTTCCCTGAACCCTTGTTCACAAAATAGGGATTTTGTTTGTCATTAGATATTGTACGCTGTGCTGCTTTCTCTTGTATTGGAAGACTGTAAGACCTCAATGACCACATCAGCATCTATACAAGACAAGGCACCCCTTGACACTAAGGAAATGTTAAATCCATTTCTAAGCACTTCCTACCAGGGGTCATTTCCTGCGGGAGCGCACAGGAGCGGAGCTCCGGCAGTAAGGAGCCCAGGGGGCGGGCACATGCAACAAGCCCCACCCCCTGCTCCCAGCAGCCCTCGGTTGGGCCACGAGGAGCAAGAAGCAGCCAGGTAAGTTGCAGAGCCCCCCTTGTCCCGCCTTCAGGTACAAGCTCTCCCTCCTCTGTGAGGGCAGATCTGCACGTTTCCCCCCACACACCATAGCTAGCAATCCAAAACAGTCCAGTGGCACCTTTAAGACCAAGTTATATTCAGGTACAAGCTCTCCCTCCTCTGTGAGGACAGATCTGCACGTTTCCCCCCCACACCATAGGTAGCAATCCAAAACAGTCCAGTAGTTTTATTCAGGTACAAGCTCTCCCTCCTCTGTGAGGACAAATCTGCACGTTTCCCTGCCCCGCCATAGCTAGCAATCCAAAACAGTCCAGTGGCACCTATAAGACCA